TATATATATATGTATATATATATATATATATATACATATATATATAGTCATTTTAGTATTAAGTATGACTCAACAATCTGAAAAAGTCTTATGAAACCTTGAGGTGCTTTAAAAAGCAGTGTCATTAGTTGCCACGTCATTCTGTTTTATCACACCTGCCAATGAGCTCCCCTCCAAAAATCCACCCTCCTCACCAGGCCTTAAAAGACTCTGTGTGATCTGACCCTCGTCCACCTCCCTCACCTCCTCTCATCCCTCTCTTCCGGGCTCACTGCTCTTTACTCACAAAGGCTTTCTTCCTGTTCTTCAAACACACTGAGCTTATTCCTGCCCCCCAGCGCCTCTGCAAGTCTCCTCTGCTTGGAAAGTCTTTCACCCACATCTATGCTGGGCTCGAGATTTAAAAAGAAATTTTTTTTTTCTTTACTCATGATAGAGTACATGTGCACATATATGAGAGTGAGAGAAAAAAATGAACACCCTCCCCAGGGTCAGGTCACATTACAATGTCATTCCTCCAGTCGTCCAGCCCGTTGGATCTCTGGTACTTGTTTGTGCCCAGAGTGTTTTAGGCTGACCCAGCCAGGGATTCAAACCAGTCACCATGGTTGAATCTCGGATTCACATGAGATGTGGCTTCTCGTGAGTGGTACGTTACTGCTGTGCCATGGAGCTGGCCCTCAACTGATTTCCCAGAAAGGTGCTAAAAACAATTCAGTGAGGAAGAACATCCTTCTCCATCACGTCGCCAGAGCAAGTAGACATCCACAGGAAAAAAAAAAAAAAGGAAACTTGACCTAAACCTCAAACTGTGTATGAGTATTTACTTGGAATGAATCACGGACTTAGAATGATAAGACTTTAAATTGGACCTCATCAAATCTTAAAACCTTGTTTTGCTTTATAAAAACCTTGTTAAAAGAATAAAGATAGGCTTTGTAAGTAGAAGAAAATACACACAAATCACATATCTGAAACAAAGATCCATATCTAGAATACATAAAGCTAAACAGTAAACACAAGAGATGAGCGGATATTTCCTTGCAGAAGACACAGGTGACACATGAAAAGATGCTTCTAAGAGCATCAGCCAATAGAGAAATGCAAATTAAAACTATAATGAGATAGCGCCATACCTCTATCAGACTGGCAAAAATAAAAAATTGTGATAAATAACCAAAAGCCAAAAGGTGAAAATGCAGAGAAACTGGATTACTCGTGTATTTACTGTTCATGGGAAACTCTGGAAGACTATTTGGCATGTCACATAAAACTAAACATGGACTTACCATACAACCCAACAATCCCATTTTGGAGCACTTATCTGGGAGAAATGAATATATGCCTGTTCTTAACAGCTTTAGATACAATAGCCACAAACTAGAACCAATCCAAATGCTCTTCAACAAGTGAATGATTAATGAAATTATGCTGTATTTATACCATGGAATGTTACTTGACAATAAAAGGGGACTACTGATACACACAATTCAGGTAAGTCCTAAGGTAATAATGCTAAGTAAAAGAAGTTGAACTCAAAAGGTGTATTGTATAATTCCACTTAGCTGATAGTCTTGAAATGATGACATGATGAAAATGGAGAAGAGATTCATAGGTGCCAGGGGTTTCGGACAGAGGGGAAAGCAGAAGGGTGAGGGTGGCTATTTAAAAGGTAGTAGCAGGGATCCTTTGTGATGATGGAAGAGTTCTGTACCTTCACTTTGGAGATGGTTAGGTAACTACACATGTAATAAAACTACACAGAACTCTATGTTCGTATACAGACACTCAGGTGAGTGCACATAAAACCAGTAATATCTGAATAAAGTTGATGGGTTGTACCAATGTCAATCTTCTAGTTGTGATATTGTAGTATAATAATGCAAGATGTTACCAAGGTGGGGGAAACTGGATGAAAGGTTTATAGCACCTCCCTGTACTACGTCTTGGGACTGTACATCAATCTGTAATTATTATTTTGTTCTTGTTATTTTTGTTTTCTATAAGGGTGTGTATGCTTGCCAGAGACAGGGAAAAAAGGTAGAAGTGAGTGAGAAACCACTCCCTAGAGGGGATTGTTACATTGTAATCCCTTCTCTCCGAATTTTGGGCATGTACACACACATGCCCAATGTGATTTTTCAAGTTACCAGCCAGGACTAGGACTTGAGCCACAGTCAGCCATGTGGGATCCAGCTGTCTTAACCTCCATGCCACCTGCTGCCCTACTTTATAATTATCTTAGAACAAAAGGTTAAGAAAATTAGTATCTTTTTCCGTTTTTATCATCCTCCAGGTATAAGTAAAGAGGTTTATGAATTCTTCCATTCATTTTGCTATGCATATATATATATACTTTTTAAAAACTTCTAAGTTGCCAAAAGGCATGTACATGGTTTTTTTTGGGGGGGAGGAGGTGTCAGAGAGAAAGCACCCTCCAATGGGGCATGGTTCTGCTACAATATTTTTTCCTCCATTTCTCTATCCCATCAAGATTTGGGGTATGCACGTACACACACATGTAATTACCATGTCTTTCAAGTCACTAGGCCAAAACTCACACCACTGTCAGCCAAGTGGCTCACTTAACCACTGTGCTATGGGGCCAGCCCAGCTTATATACACTTCTTGTTTTAACTTTGCAAAATAGGATCATATTACATATACTATGTGTATAGTGCTACAGCTTGCCCTTTTTACACAATAGCTTAACATGGAAATCTTCCCAGTTAATGCACAGCATCTGCTTTTATAGCATTCTTGATGTATTATATTTAAATGTGCAATCCTACCAACATTTCTGGGAATAAACACATGGCACTTACCCCACTGTCTGTTGTGAGAAAACCAAAGGGTACTTTTCAATTGCCATCGAGCCAGCAGTGGGAGGTGCTGCTTTGTTCAGAATGAGCTTGGCCAAAACGGCCAGAGCTTCACCTTTGATCACAGTGTCATCGATCAAGAAGCAATTCTCAATATAGGAGAGAAAGCTTGGTAGAAAAAGCTAAAAACAAAAAAGGAAATCACATTTATTGATAGGTATACACTTCAGAATAAAAAAAGGAAGATTCTAACAGTTTAAAAAAATAGGTCGTAAATACAGGATTGGGCAACATAATGGAATTAGACCTCTCCATGGGAATGACAGAAGCTAGAAGGTAATGATACAATGCCTTAAAAAGTCGGAGGGAAAGTAACTTAGAATCTAGAATCCCATACCCAGACGACTGACAATGCAGTGTAAGGAAAGAAGAAAGACATTTTTAGATGTATCAAGTCTAAAAATTTTATCTCCAATTATCTATTCATTGTAACCTCTGAAAAATGTATTCCATCAAAGGAAAAGAATCAACTGTAACAAGCCAGAGAAATATCAAGTTACTTATAAAAGATATCCCAAAAGATATCCCAAAGTGGACTTCTCATTAGAAACAATACAAACAAGGAAAGAATGGAAAAATATATTCAAAGTGTTAAGTTAAAAACAACTTTAGCCAAGAATACTATACCCGGCAAGATTATCCTTTATATGGTAAGAAAAGACATAAACATTCTCAGATAACCAAAACCTGAAAGAATTTACCACCACCAGACCAGCTCTTCAAGAAGCTCTGAACAGAGTGCTATACTAGGAAAACTAAATACAGACACACAGAAATAAGAGATCAGAAACAACCAAGAAAATGGCCAACTTAATATAGTAGGGACAAGTCCGGAGTTGAATGTTATTTTCCAGAATTTAAATGGAAAAACTGGACCACAACAGAAGAGAGATTAATTACATGAGACTGAACTGGAGAAACAGAATTTCATGATTTTTGACTAAAACATTACAAATGTTCTTCTATGCTTTGTTTTTCAGAGTTAAGGATTTTTGTCTTCTTTTGAGCTGTCAATAGGTTCATGTACGTACTATTTGAACAGAATCCTAGCCTGTTTCCTGGCTTTAAGTCTTCAGCAAATTTCTCTTAACATTTTTTGATTTTTGCTTTATTAAAGCTAAAACTGCTTTTCTTAAAATTAAAAAAAATACCTAAATACCTACCACAGTTAAGCTACATAGCCTCAGCTAGGTGCTACTTCATAGTATACTCATTCCACTTACAGAGTTTCATGCCTAAAGTCAAACGTGTGTTCTAAGATATGTACATATCAGCTGAAATGGCTATTGAAAGTATTTTGATATTTAAGATATTTTGTGAATCAATAAAATGTGGGGAGAAAAAGGGGATGGAAGCAACTATAGATACCAAAGGCAGTGTGGGAGGAGAGTCTGGAAAGGCAGAGGGTGAGAAATAGGCAATCGAAAAAAGAAAGAAAAATCTATGTAAGAAACAAGAAATGGAAAATTATTTGTGGATGATAATATGTATGATTAAGACAATATACGTATTCTGGATAGGAAATAGTTTGTTTTTTTTTTTTTTTTTGGAGAGGTTTTTGCTATAGGGCGTGTGCGCTTGCCAGAAAGACAGAGAGAGACAGAGAGACAGAAAGTGAAAAATCACCCCCAAGGGGGCATGGTCACGCCACAATCCCTTCTCCTCTGTTTTCCTCTTGGGATCTTGGGCACGCATGCACACGCGCCTGGTGTGAATTTAAGCCACCAGGTCCGGAGCTTGAACCGCAGTCAACTACATGAGAGTTGCAACATAGCCATAATGCTAACTGCTGGTCCTGGGAAATAGCATTTGTATGCTGTAATGATGTTCAGTGAATGAATGCAAAAAATTTAAAATTTAAAAAAAATTTCTAATTTTTAAAGATTGAGGCAATTTATAAACTCCAGGAAAAAGTGAGAATATTTACAATAAAGGACAAGTACCCATAAAATATTCTTTGCTTATATGCATTAAGTGTATGGTGAATATGGATTCAACTGAAATTTGTGATAAAACCTTACTGGGAAGGGGCCGGCAGGTGGTATGGTGGTCTAGGGCACAGGACTTCCACATGGCCAACTGCAGTTCGAGTTCCGGACCCAACAGCTTGCTTTCTCACTTTCTCTCTCGCTCGCTTTGTCCCTCTCTGGTCAAATTAAATAAATAAACTAATTAATTTAATTTAATTAAATAATAATTTTTTTTTTTTTTTTGGAGAGGCTTTTGCTATAGGGCGTGTGCGCTCGCCAGAAAGACAGAGACAGACAGAGCGATAGAAAGCAAGAAATCACCCACCAGGGGTATGGCCACGCCGCAATCCCCTCTCCACCATTCTCCTCTCAGGATCTTGGACATGCATGCACATGCGCCCAGCGTGAGTTTAAGCCACTATGTCTGGGACTTGAATTGTGGTCAACTACATGGGAGTCCAGTGACATAGCCATTATGCCAACTGCTGGTCCCAATAAAATAATTCTTAAAAAACAAACAAACAAACAAACAAACAAAAAACAAAACAAAACTTTACTGACAAAATGAGGAACGCAATAGAACTAAAATCCATCTCCTATAGGAGTATATCTACAGATGAGGACTAAAACTTACAAACCAAGGGAAAGCAATACATTCAGATGATTTAAAAATATAAAGTAGCTACCAGAAAAGAATATAAAAATCATTAAATGTGGTTCCTGCTAGTGAGACAAGAATAGATAATAAAAGATACCTTTTAGCCTTGTTTGACTTTTTAAACTGCATATTGTACTGATAAAAATAGGATTTTTTAAAAAGATCAAAGGGAATAGGGAAGAGAGAAGATGCAGTTTCTAAGAAAACCAGAGCAAGATACAGAGTTCTCATTGAGCAGAAAGAAACAGGATCTAGGACACTTACAAAAGATTTTTTTTTTTGAGACAAACAAGATTATATGTTATTATAGACTAAATGGAAGAATGAGAGAACAGATATAGAGATGGGTTTCTATGAAGTAACTATAGGGCTACTGATAGGGATGAATGGAAAGGGATAAAACAAATTTTATCTTCATTCCATCAGGTATCTATTTTGTAGCAATGAAATGACTTCGCAACTTTCTTTCAATGCAAACTGCTGGAGAAACTATTTTCTATGCTTCAAATTCACATAAAACTTCCTTAAACAGTTTTTCGATTTTACCATATGGTTCTATAACCACATGAAAAATGATTAAAAAACAGGTTTTCTATCATACATCATTTTAAATGCCTTAGCATAAAATAGTTTAACTGTAAGCTAGAATTGAGTATTTTTAGAAATTTTGCAACAGGGCACAAACAGTCTTTAGAGAGAATGGGACAGAAGGTCCCTCCTTTCAAGATTTTGGGCATGCATGTACATGTGCTCAGTGAGTTTCTCAAGGTGCTGGGTTCAAGACTCAAACTGTACAGCTGGCCATGTTGGATCCAGCTAACTTAAGCAGCACACTACAGACTGGCCCATGTATTTCTTTAGAAAAAAATAATAAAATGACTAAAATATGAAGCACTGATTTTGTTCCTCTCAAAAAGAAAAAAAACAAATATTACTGGATTTTGAATTTTACTATTTTATAATGACAATGTAAAAAAAAAAAAAAAGAATCTTAAACTTAGTATATCTTGGTTACCTGTTCAAACTGCTTCATAGCAAACATGACTTCAGAAAAATTCCAAATTAGACGTCTTTCAAATCTGCTCTCAAAAATCTGTGGACCACAGGTAAAAAATATTAATAGACAATCACTCCCTCTTCCCCCCACTACACCCCAAGAAAGTAGACACAGGAAGAGACTGATGAACACACTTTAACCAGTGTTCTGTCCAAATGGTCAGCCTTCTCTAAAGGAGCTTACATGGGGCTCTGTCTAAGAGGTGCTCAATTCTTTCCCAGCTACACAGAATTACAAAAGGGCAAGCGGTATGACCTTGCACCTTCCCAAAAAATGTACCAATAGACTAGATGAAGCTAAGGAAAGCCTAACTACCTTTCTATTTTTAATCTACTCCCCTCCAATCCATCTTCCAAACTCACCAAAATGCAAACCTCATCAGGTTATTTCCTTGATTAGAATCCTTCCCAGGACCCTTCACTACGTGCAGGGTAAAGCCCTAAGGCCCTATCTAAATTCTGCAATGTTGAGCACAGTGCTGCTGGTATCATACCACACTTCGTGTGTCCAGACTGCACACACATCTATGAAAACATCTTTGCTATTCTGTTTCATGTTTTTAATCCCATTTAGGCTAGTAAACCTTCAAAGGCTATCTCAAATAAGCCCTTTAAAAAGCTTTCTTTGTTCCTCAATCCCAGGCAAAATGAATGCTTTTAATTCAATTTATCTCCAATAGATCGGTAAAAAGATTACAGTTACTCACTGCCAGGCCCCTATAATGTAGCGTTCTCTCTGGAACACCAACGGTAAGCTAGTCTACATGTTCACTGAGTATCTGCTATACAGACTTAGCTTTTAACATACTTTATTTTACTTATTTCTATTACAGCATGCAATTCACATCTCCTTAACAAGATTATAAATTCCTTAAGAGTAGGGCCTTTGCCATGCTTCATTCGTATTCCCCAGTAGGCTTACTCAATGCTAAATACATTGTTAACTATTCAATTAATATTTATTGACATGAATTACTTTTTCAATGGTCTCTTTGATGAGGGTCTCCGGCAAGGAAACATTTTCACCTAGGATCAAAGCAGAAATTACATCCAAGAGGGTCTCCCGGCAAGATGTGGAGAGATTGGTAATTTGTAATGTTTTCGACAGTACCTACAAAAATAACAGAAAAAGCAATGTACATTTAGCAATCTACTTTTAATAAACAGACTCTTAAGCATATTAAGCTGGGAACTCACCTTACAAACATCAGCAGGTTTGGTTATTTTGGAGCCATGTCCATGTTTCACCAGTATCAGGTATGTTTCTAACAATCTTTTTATCTGTTCAGAACTTTCGCAACAGTTAGTTTTTGTTACTTTTGTATGTAGATTCAGGAGCGATTCCTACCAACAAAGAATTGAACAGAGATAATAACTGTAAAATATTGAACTCATTTGTTAATCCGATAAGGAAAATTTTGTGTGATGTAGTCAACTTTCACATTCTTTCACTTTAGAAGAGAAAGACTTATTTACCAGCAGTCACTATGATAGTAACAGCTAACATTTACTGAGCACACTGTTCTAAGTTTTTTGTAAGTATTTACCGTCCTCACAGCAACCTTAAGGTGGGATTCATTATTGCCCCCAGTTATCAGATGAAGAGATCGAGGAATAGGAACCTTAACTTTTCCAAGCACACCAGCACTAAGGGGTACAAGATTCAAACAGAGGCAGTCTGGCTCATGAGTATCTCTTCACCACGATGCCCTGCTGCTTCTGCAGATACCACACACACAGACATGACAGGGAGTAGGGGGAAGGAAAATCCTAACGTGTGGAAAAGGACCAAGAAAACAATCCAGAAATACCACTTCCGGGAGTGCTCTGCTAAACTCAGGGCAACAATAAACTCTTAAGACTCATTACATACACATCCCTCAAAATAAGAACTCACTTGCAAACAGTCAAAAAATACACCAAAATGTTCCTTGTAGATGTAGAATACAGTGGATTTGACCATGTTTTTGAGTGTTTCTCCAACTAGAATCCATGGCAGCTGAGTTTCAGATTCAGTAACTGGTCCTAGCTTTTGCAAAATTAGCTTCACTGCCTGTGGGAATGCAAGAGTCATTCAAATGAACATATAAAGTATTGGGTTGTTGGAAAAGGTATGATGCATTTTTACACAGAAACAAAAAAATACGTATTGATGTTTCCTATGACTCAATATTATGCTGAGAGTTGCCACTCTATGTTAGCTACCTTAAAAATCTGGTCTTGAGGGACCAGCAGGTGGTGTGGTGGTTAAGGTGCTGGATACTCCCACATAGTCAACCATGGTTTGAGTCCTGGACCTGGTGGCTCGCTTTCTCACTTTCCCTTGCTCTTACTCTGTCTCTGCTCAAATTAAAATAAATGAATGAATAAATAAATAAAATTAAAAAAAAAAAATCTGGTCTGGAATAATCAAGGATATGGCAGGTCTGGCAGTTAACAATGTGTCCCAAGAGGAATTGATAAACTATGCCAGGGAATTATATCATACGACTGTCGCCTACCCACCTACCCTCCGTATTTCCTGCTAGGATCCAGGATAAAGACAGCAATGCTCTTAAAAGTAAAAATACCTAACCATGCAGGGCTCACATTAGGTAAGCATTGTTACTCTACCCGTGAGGTTCCCCACCGAGCGCTGTCTCCTTATTCAAGCCTGCACTCTCTCCATATCATTTACGCAACTTTACTCTTTTTCTGATTAATCCCTGCCCCCCCGCCCCCGTGGATTCCAAGCACTTCCCCCTGTTACTTACCTGGCCTGCACAGGAGTGAAACATATTTCTTACTCCTTTGCACATTTCAAAGAGCAACTGTCCAACTCCTTCTACTTTTTCTGGATGTTCTCCAAGATCGAGAAACATTAAATTGAAAAGTGCATTTTTATCAGAGACCTAAAGTGGGAAATGAAAACAAAATTATATTGATGACACAAACGTATCTAAATGATGAAATCTCATCTACTATCTTACATACTCATACTGAGAAGGAATAAGAAAAAACTCTCAAAGGAAAGGACGTTTGTAAAGATGCTGAACTACTACTACTGTGTTTGCTCACTTGCAATGTCACACGCAAGAGTAAACCGCTGGGTCTGGGACTCAAATCACCGTCGGCATGTGAGAGTCTGGCACTTTAACAACCATGCCATCTGCTGGTCCCATAGTCTATCTTTCAAAGTAAATCATGTATTTGTATTTTATGAGCATTTAAAGAAATTTGATACCATTTTTTTTTTAAATTACAAAAAAAGTCTCTAAAATTTACCATGGAAATAAATACAAATGACACCATGCTACCTGTTGCTTTCAGGAAGCCATTACAAAAATTTCTGTTTTCTCATTGTTCATATATTCACTGACTGGGATTAGATGACACCTTTGAATATGTACACTGGAAGCTACTAAAGCACTAACAATAAAGAAGCACCTGAAATTATTTCACATTACTAAGTGTAGACTAAGCCTTACAGAGTGATAAACTCAAAAGAGTAACAGCTTTTTAGTTATTTAAAAAAAAAACACATAATAATCTCATTTCAAAAAAGATAACTGCTTCTATTCATCAAATTATTTTTGAAAAAGTTTATATATTTAATTAATTTCATGACTGAGAGAGAAGGTGGGAGGGAAGAGACAAGGGGAGGAGAAGGAAATGGGAGAGGGAGAGAAGGGCACCCCCAGCATCTGCACCTTGTCAGAAGCATGCTCAGGAAGGGCCTGGAACGTGAACCTGGGTCCTTCCCATGTGAGCCCAATTATGTCACTGCTTTGCTACTGTCTGCCCCCATTCATCAACTTCACACAATTAGCAATAATCATATAAAATATCAGCTAACCTTTCTCATCAAAAAAGTAAAGCTTTCAGCAGCAAAATTTCTTATGTGTAGTTTTTTATGAGCCAGGAGTGTACTGTACAAGCTGTAAATGAGAAAAATAAGACATTTAATTAATCATACAGTTCTGATAAAGGTCAGTGATATATCCAACACAGCACCAGGTAGGCAATGAATATATAGCGGGTACAGAAGTTTAATATCTCATTCATATACCAAGACACCCACATGCTCAACAGAAGACTGAAGGCCACAGACTCAAGAGCCCTAGGATTAGGGATGCTGGTTTTACAGGACAGACGCGAGGAAAAGCTGATACTTGTAGTGAGTTCTGACCAGCACAGGGACAATTCAGGTGGAGACCGGACTGTATATCATGGTAACAGCAAGAGTAAAAACGGATGGGCAGAAATGGTCATGTTTAAGAGAACAGAACAAGGTGGGTCCACCTACAATAAAAGCAGAAGGATGACGTGGTTGAGGAGGGTACCTGCGCACAAGGCTGCCCAGGTCAACAGGCAGCTCCGGCACCAAGCCGAGGAATGTGGGCTCGAGCTTACATCCATGTAAGCACTTACTCTGCAATACTTCATTTAATCCATATAATAAATCTATGTTTGTTTGTTTGTTTGTTTTTAAGTTCTGTTACAGGGTGTGTGCACTTGCCAGAGACAGAAAGAGAAAGAAAAGAGGGGGAAAGTAAGCAAATTGGCCACTGAGGGGGGCATGGCCATGCCAAAGACCCTTCTCCTCTACTCTCCTCTCATGATTTTGGGCACACATGTACACATCCCTAGCATGATTTCAATTTTGTTTTTAAAAGAAATATTTTGCTATAGGGTATGTGCACTTGCCAGAGATACAGAGATACAGAAAGCAAGAAATCAGCCCCCCCAAGGGGGATGGCCATGCTGTAATCCCTTCTCCTCCATTTTCCTCTCAGGATTTTGGACATACACACACATGAGCCTGGCCAGAATTTTAAGCCACCTGGTCCAAGAATTGAACCATGGTCAGCTATGTGGAAGGCCAGCAATGTAACCACTATACTATCTGCTGGTCTCCCAGCATGATTTTCAAGAGACTGTGTCCAGGACTCAAACCTTGAAGTCAGCCATGTGGGATCCAGCTGCCTTAATCACCGTGCCACTGGCTAGCTCCAGAATTTATATACTATTACTATTATTTATAAATGATTGAATAAATGAATGAATCTTACTGTGTCACAATCTTCTTGCCTCAGTCCCCATGCCAAGGGATTAGAGGCACAACCACCATGCTTGGTCTTTAGGTTAGACTAGGAATCAAAACCAGCCTTCCATGTGGGTCCAGCCTAGGAAGCACAGTGCCACTGTTGCTGGGCCCAGGGGACAGGCACTATTATTATCCCATCCTGCACATAACGAAAGGCTAAGCAACCTGCTCAGGTTCATACTGCCCTGCAGCTAATACAGGAGGACATGGAAGATGCCACTTGTGTTTCTGCTGTGTCCAGTATCTAATAGCTCCTTTGTCATAGCAGGTACGAATAAATACTGGCCGAACGACAAATGAATATTTTCAGAAGATTGATTTGGCAGTAATAAGCAGGATAAAATAAAGGAAGATGAGGCTGGTAACCTCATAAAAGAGCTGCTTAGGTCATACAAGCTTGGGCTAACACCAAGGAATGAGAGAGGCTGGTATTAGAGGGAACTAGCAAAGGGCTCCAAGAGACACTTTAGAAATCCCTGCAGTGGAGCCAGACTTTACGATCTGGCTCTCCAACAGAGCTTCTCCAACATCACCCAGTTACTCTCACTCTCACAGGTGCTGCTTCACCACCCAGTCCTTGCCGTTCTTTGAACATGTCAGGCATGTGCCCAAGATCTCCTCTCCCTGCTCAAATGTGAGTTTTGTGAGAAGAGTTTTAAATTTTATTTGGGATCGTATTTCAAGCAGCTGGCACACAGCACTCGACCAATACTCACTGAGTGTGAATGACAGAGTTAAGAGGATTTAAAGTCCTTGAAGACAATTGGGTCAAACATAAGATGCCAAAATTCAGTGATGAAAAACCTGATGACATCATTGATAGAAAATGAGGAACCAAACAGAGTCTGGCATGTGGCAGGCAGTCAATACATACTTACTAAATACACAAATGGATGAAAAGATAAAAAGCATTAGTTGGAACAGGAATGTAATCAGCTTGTTTTCAGTAATCCTCAAAGGAAAATATCCAGGCTGTTGCAAATAAATGTAGAACCAAAGAGCCTGACTTAGGAGACATAAAAACGGCAGCTTTTATGACAGTTGAAATCATAAAACTAAACAAACTATATTCCCTAAAGACCTTGCTAGCTGTTTAATATCTTTGTTCAAAGTTTCTAAAAAGAGAAGGGAAGGCACTGCAAAGGAGATGGCACAGAGACAAACTCGATTGTCCTATCCCACACCCATAGCTTTTACCGGCGAGTAAAGAGTTGAGCACTGACCTCAAACAGTCCTGTGGCAATTACAGTATGTAGAAACAATCAGAAGACCAAGTGGCAAGATCCATGAAATCCAGATTTAAACAGTTAATAAGCAATTTTCCCCTGACTTTAAACAAAAAGCTACTGTGGAATGCACTCTCTTTCTCTGTCCACATTTACTCACAAACAGGGAGAGTCTGTTTTGACTTAAGTATATTAACAAAGGACATGCAGATGTTTACGACGGAGTTATTAAAGAGTTTGCAGCTTTGTAGAGGACAGCATTACAATAAAAACAGTTAACAATAAAAGTCATATAACATGAGAGGAAAAAAAAATATCAAAGGGGTGCAGAGTACAAAGCTCTCATCTGGCTAAGGTGCCTGGGGGGATTTGTAGAGGTTACGATATCCAGGTTAGGCTTTGATGGTAGGTATAATTTTAATAACCAGAGATGAAAAAAGGCCAGGCCAACTCAGAATTTAGACACGTGTGATACATACTGGCAGACCAGATTATGGACCCTTTTGGCCAGAGAATCAACTTTGTATAAGGAAATAGCTGGCTATTGAGCTGGAAAGGTAGTTCGGAGTCCATCAATAGCCAGAGAAAATAGGAAAGGCAATGAAAAAGTAAGTTAGAGAAAAGGGTCACCTGTATATTCTGGACATGTCCTTTACCATCAGTCTCCACAGGTATTTGTAAAGATATGATAACGAGGTGAAAGCCCATTCCAACAACTCTGTGTCCTGTGTCTCCAGGATTGAGGTGATAGCCAGAAAAAAATCTTGAAAGTGTGGATAGAAATCCATCTGCAGGTCTCGTGCCAACTGTACGACCAAACTAGATTGAAAAACATGAAGCACTTGATTAAGAGGGACATGTATATATTTAAAAAGAAAAAAGGGCTACAAATCTATCAAAGATAGCAATAAGCCTATGATCACTGGATCAATTAAACCAAAACAGTACTAAATCAAGTCTTAAGAGCTACAAAATTCTTTAAATCTTAGAGTTCAGCAAAGAGATCAGGCAAAAAGGTACATCTCACACGTTACAGTCAATTGTTCCTACATTGTCAAGGAAAAAAGGGGTTCTTTTGGGAGTATACAACAAATGCAAAGTTGTACCCCTAAAATTCTGCTTTGTTATAAATGCACTTTCTCCTGGTAGTCTGATCTAAACGAAAAGGTAAATTCTTGTTTCTAAATTTAAATATCTGAACTAAGGCATTATGAGCTACGAAACACGACCTGTCTTAAAATTTAGATAAATGTTATCAAACTCTCAAGATGCTACTTACTCCAAAAGGGGTTGAAAGGCAAAACTGTTCTTAATTTGCAGGTGAGTCTTCAAACTCTGAACTATTTCGTTTTGATGATAGACCAACTGGTTAAATGATTGGCACTTGTCAATAACTTCTTTGTAAAATTTTCCTGGGTTCGAAAAAAAAAAAAAAAAAAAGAATACATCCTACATTCCTGTTACATTACTATGTAGTTATCTAAAACATGTGAAGTGGAAATTACGGGTGAATAAAATGGAAACAAAATAGAAAATACCGAAGTGTTCCGTAAGGTTCAATTCTCTCCATTTCAGCAGACCTTCAAAAAAGTAGGTTTCAACCTCCTGCCAAGATTAAAGCAGTCCATTAATCAGACAAATCCAAGAAAAGTACAAAGCAAATAAGTACCTGATATATTAATATCTTAAGACAATGATAGCCAAGAGTTTAACAATTCCTTTTAATTTTTTTATAAGTGACATTAACTAATATACTTTTTAAAAAGCAATCAGAAGTATGACACTGAATAGCAAAGTTAATTAACAGAAACAAAATTACAGAAAGAGGCACAATTTCTAGTATTATAAAATATAGTGGTAGGGAGAAAATAGTTAAAAATTTACTGTGTATCACAGAGTAACTATAAGAGTTTTGAATGTTCCCAACACAAATGAATGACAAATACGTAAGGAAAAGAATTACATATTAAGTCAGCAGATGATTTATAAAAACAATGTTTTTTGAATGTAGTTGTAGCAAATAATTCCCAAATACCCATTTAAGAGTCACACTAAGGAAAATATTTTTTCCTGTTTACAATTTTAAGCACAGAAAAATAAGCTGACTTCATTATAGTTTTTTCATTCTGTTTGAGAAACATGAATTGCTACAACCTTATGGGAAGTAATCTAGCATTTCTATGAAAATGAAAAAAGGAATGCCCTTTCACCCAGGCAATTCCACTTCTGGAGAGATTTCTTATAAAATTTATGAATGTACAAGTAAAAGATGTTTATTTAGCTTGACTATAGAGAGGAGGAAACAGAAGACAGCCTGAATAACCCACAGAAGGAAAATGTTTGGAATAACGTACAGCCTATACATAATAAGGTACATTTCAGGATATTAAAAGGAGTTGTATCTGTGCTGAACTAGAAGGACACTGATGATATGAGCAGGATAGAAAAATGCACATATAACAAGTTGTCAATTTTGGTTTCCTTGGCAACAAGGGGTGGGAGTAGTGAGATAATAGGCTTTTTCTAAGTTTGCCACTATGTTATTTAGCTTGTGAATATAGCATATATTTTTGTACTTTGAAAGGTAAAGGGGGAAACAGCAATTAGTGTAATGGCTCTGTCGCTGGACTACCACATAGTTGACCGCAGTTCGCGTCCCGGACCCGGTGGCTTAAAACTCACGCCGGGCGCGTGTGCGTGCGTGCCCAAGATCCCGAGAGGAGAATGGAGGAGAAGGGATTGAGGCATGACCATCCTCCCTGGGGGGTGATTTCTCGGTTTCTGTCTCTATGTCTCTGTCTGTCTGGAGAGTGCACGCGCCCTATAGTAAAAATCTCTCCCCAAAAAAAGGTAAAGGCAATATACTATTATGATACCTGCAGGTACATATGCATGTGGGTATACATAGATACAAATAAATATACAGAGGAAAGAACACCAACACAAAGGTACATACATAAACACATGTCATATCTACTACCATCTCAAAAAGATCCTTAAATTGTGCTTTGGGCATTAACTACAAAATGAAATAAAATTATTAAGTAGTAGGCCAGCTGGATTCAAATCCATGGTTCAAGTCTCAGACCTAGCAACTTAAGAAATACACTGAGTGCATTTGCATGCAGGTCCAAAATCCCAAGAGGAGATGAGAAGAAAGGATTGTGGTGTGGCCAGCCCCTCTGGGGAGTGATTTCACACTCTACCCCCTTTTAATGCTGGTGAGCACAGACATCCTATAGCAAACTTAAAAAAAAATTTTTTTAAGGGGCCAGCAGGTGGTGAAATGGTTAAGGAGCTTGACTCCCATGTGGACAACTGCGGTTTGAGTCCAGGACTGGCGACTAGATAATCATGCCAGGTGCACATGAATGTGTGCCCAAAATCCCAAGTGAAGAATGGAGGGGAAAGGACTGCAGTATGGCCATCCCTTTAGGGAGTGATTTCTCACTTTCCCTTTCTGTCTCTCTCTAGCAAGCACACACGCCCTATGGCAAAAACTTAAAACAAAACAAAACAAAACAAAACAATATAAAACAAAAAAACAATAGGCAGAACAGTGAGGAAGAAAAAGAAATCCATTAAATTTTGTTTACAGTCCCTTAAGTCAGAAGGGAAACACATATTAGCTTAAATCTAAACATAGAAGGCATTCCTAGCCCAGCATGTGACTGGCACATGTCAGTCATTTGTGATAGATTATGTCCTATCCTTTTCCTAGCTGTCTCTGCAGCTTCCTCCACCAAAAGATGGGGCCTGTTCTCCACCTCTGGAATCTGGCCTGGTGTCATGACTTGCTTTGACCAATAATGCGATGGAAATGACCCTGCAACATCCAAAGCTTGGCTCTATGAGGACTTACGGCTTTTGCCTTCACTTTCCTGGAAAGATTCTGTTATCATGAAAAGAAGCCTACTCTAGCTTCTTATAGAATAAAAGGTTTTGAGGAGAATCAAGACCAACAAGAAAGAAGAAACTCCCAGATATGTGACTGAAGCCATTCTGGACCATCCAGCACAGAATCCTACACCAGGCTCTTCTCTGCTAACTTAGCACTCCACCCACACGTACTTTCAATTTCTGTGGCTTAAACTATAAGCCATATGCTGAATGTCAAATCTACAATCCCACAACTAAAATAAGCTATGCTCCAGGTCCATACACTAACTGTCTTTTGGACACTATCATTTGGATGGTCACTGGTACCTCAAACTCAACAAGCTCCAAATGGAACTAATTATCTTGCCTTCCTGTGGTCCTCTTCCTAAAATCTTGATGAGTGACATTCTCAACCACACAATTACTGGAATCAAAAACCTTAAGCCTGTTCTCTTTCTCCTTGCACATTCAGTAGGTCACAATTCCTACCCATTCTACTTCCTTCACATCTCTGGAATCTTGCCCTTCTCTCCAGCTTGCTGGCTACTACCACAATCGCTTCTTATTTAGATGACTACCAGATCCTCATAACGGGTCGCCCTGACTCCAGTCCAGCTCTTTACTCCACACTAAAGCCAAAGTGACCAAAAGCTTAAACCAGATCAAGTCACACACTCCCATATACAGTCCTACTATGAAACCCCATAGCTTTAGGGTAAAATCTAAATTAACTTGACATCTGAAGCCTTTTATGAACCTTGCCTATCTCTCCAGCATTCTTTCACAAGCTAAACCTCCCTCCATCCCAGTCACCATCACCACAAAGACTTTACACACACGTAATAAACTACTTTGTAGTGTCTTGAATGTGATGTGTATTCTCTAGGCTGGTCTTTTATATAAGCTTCTCACTCGGCCTGAAATAACCTTTTCTGCCCCCTTGGCCACACTAAAACCTATATAAACAACAAAACTCTATCTGGTACCACTTTATCTAGAACAACTTTTCTGACACTGCATCCTTCACTGCTAAAGAATTTAGGATAGGCTCCTTTCACTGTGAGTTCTCAAAGCATTATATGCTTACCTAGATAACCTCATTTAACACACTGAACTTACATGACAGAAACAATGTATTCAAAAATACAGTAAGTAGAGTCCAACTAGAGCCATGAGAAGAATAGTAAGTACTGAGGCTGAATTCCCAGGTTAAAGGCATGTTACACAGGACCTTAAAAGGCTAACATGGGAGTGATGACTTAAAGCAAACAAAAGATTTCTGCGGAGGTATTATAAAATTAGAGCATAATCAGAAGTGGAAAAATTATATAGTTTAACCCTTTTCATTTTTTGGGAGGAGGAAACTAAGCCCCAGGAAAGTGACTTGCTCAAAACTGCTTTATAACTACAGCTGCAGGAATCTGAATATAGCAGTACACGGAATGCACATGGTAACTGAACATGCTATCACAAAAGCCAGCTGGGCATCGAGTCATTAGCATCACCTGAAGGAACTTTCCGAAATGACAGAAAATGTTCCATGTCTACATTTTGTCCAATATGGTAACAACTAGGCAGATATCCAGGGACTTAAAGAAGTTCATGAAACAATGTAATTGAAGTATGAATTTATTTCGGCGTAAAAAAACCTGAAACCATGGTCTGATGGTTAAGGGAGCTAGATCACACATGGCCAACTGCAAGGTTTGACTCCTGGACACAGCAGATTGAAAAACAGGCCAGGCATGTGTGCGTACATGCCCAGAATCCCCCAATCAGGGGGAAATAAAGAAGAAGAGATTGTGGCATAACCAAGTCCCATTGGGGGTGCTTTCTCTCTTGTTCTCTTCCTCTCTCTAGTGAGTTCACACATCCTCTGCCAAATTTTTTAAGAAGGAAACCCAGCATACTTCTTCATATCACAAATTTCCCAATTAACTTTTATTTTTTATAGTTTATTTATTTATTTTTTTCCATGAGCAAGAGATACAGCACCCCCAAGAGGGTCTGGACACTGTGATCCACCCCCTAGCCTCAGCCAGCTCCAGATCACAGACATCCATGTACCCGGTGTACTTAGGAAAGTCTCAGGACAGGTGTGAACCCAGAATCTCCCGTATGGGTCAGCCTTGCAGAGTGCTACATTTTACCTCTGTGCTACCATCCATCATTCTTCCCCCCACCCCCCAGGAACTTTCTGAAGATCTCTTGTATGGTTACTGAGTATTTGGATTTTTAACTTACTTTAATATATTATAATTGCCATGTATAACTACCACCCTAGATAGCACAGGTCTAATGCATGCATGTTCATAAAGGAATGGCTTGAAAACATTTCTACCAACAGGAGAAATTAACACACCAATTATGACTACTTGAAGGCTGGCTAGTATTAGAGTATTCTCTTACCTCATCATAGCTCGCAGTCCTATCAATCCGGTGAATAATGTCGATATTCACATTACCCAGTCGTTCAGCGAATGTAAGAAACTGTTGGGGAGGACATATTTAAGATATATCATTTAATCATTTAATACTTATCACATCTTGAATGTTTGAGTGCTGTATCATAATCATACATGGGCAATTTTCTTGTGGAAGCAGGAAACTTTAAAGCTTCAATAAGTCTCTCCATGCACTATCATTGCAAATAATGATATGCTTTCCTTGTAATTTAGGCTTGTGCTCTCTATCATTCATAAAATGTATAATTGACCTTTGAAACTAAAAGCAAGCATCTCTGATGGAAAGGATAAGTGTAAATACAGACCGAAAGACATAGGGTTTTTAAAAACCCTGCTGAATTACTATTCAAAGAAAATGAATACCTTTATGAATACATGTGCATAAGTTCTTTCAGCTATGCCATCTCAAATAACATTTTTATACTAGACTGGTGGGCCTAGGCAAACGCTGCCGATTTGCCTAGCTAGAGGGACTGTTAGGATTCATATCCCGCTACTAGCACAGGGATGTGGCTAAGTCGTTACAACAAAATGTTTTTAAATATATACAGGCGTACGGTTGTACCGTATCAAAAATCCTGAAAAGAAACTATCAAGGGGCAAACGGAGAAAGTGCTGTAGTAGTCAGCAACTGGAAATTTCACTTCCTCCAGCTGGCCCAAGCCCCCGGTTTTTAAAGATAAAAGAATTGGGGAGACTCGGTTCTCGGTCCTAAACAATCTCCTGGCATGATTTAACTCTGGTCAAATGAGAATTCTCAGGACGCGCCAGACTCAACAAACCATGGATGAAATCTACTGTCGAGTCTTTCTTTCCCCATCCTATATTTACTACATCTGGGGGAGGTCCCTCTTCCACTGGAGCCTCCGGGTAAGTGACAGAAGCTCAACCTAGAACTCTACAGCCCCTGTGTCTCGTTCAGGGACAGTCTCACGGTTGGGATTCTCCCACCCAAGGTCCCGCGCTCACCCGGTAGGTGTTCTCGGTCTTGTGGGAAATGGGCTTTGGCTTCATGGCTTCGGAGGGTCAGCGGCCCGCGAGGGCCTCTGGAAGGACGGAGGAGATGCAGCCGACCTCGGAGAGGGGAAAGTCGCTCGCAGATCCTCACTGATCGGAGTCCCAGGTGCTTGATTTTCTCACGTGCAGGTTGAGCCCCTGGGCGCCGCCATGTTGCGTACGGGGAGGGGGCCTGAGTGTGTCACGTGGGCGGAAGAAGCAGAGCGAGCATGCGCAGCCTGCAGGGCGGCTGTCAGTAGGAGGGGTGGGGCTGGCGGTGCGCATGTGTGAGTGCCGAGTTCCCACCACTCTCCAGAGGAGAGGCTTTTCAAGAAAGGTGAGAAAACACGCCCTTCCTTATCAGCTAACGTCGACTGTGCGGCACTTTGTACTCTGCTCCATGCAAAACTTTTCCCAACCGTAATTTACCAGGAAACCTATTGTGAATTCCAAATAGATACATATAAAGAAGATTTATATTTGTAAGCGTCGTTGACACGTGAAGAAACCAAGGTAGTGCAGGTAAACGTGGCAGACTTCATTCAGACTCTAAATTCTGATCTTCTTAACCACTTGTCTCTAAATATTATGAAATCGAAAATTAGAAAAGGAATTTTGAAGAAAAAAGTTAATGTTGTTTAACATAACTGTATGGTTTTAAATATATGCACTTTTTTTAGAATTATTTTATTTAACTATTTATTTATTATTTTAATTTGACCAGAGAGGGATAGAGTGAGAGAGAGAGAGGAAAAGAAGGAAAGTGAGAAAGCAACCCACCAGGTCTAGGACTCGAACCATGGTTGGTCATGTGAGAGTCCAGTGCCCTTAAACACCACACCACCTGCCAGCCCCATACATGCACAATTTTTAATATAGCTTTTAAAATATAATTTTACTCCCACCTAACATTTACTCATTCATTCATTCATTCAACAAGTAACTATTTCTTGAGTGTCTCTTGTGAGCCAGGCATTGTGCTGAGAGCTAAACAATAAAATAGTGGTTTTTAAAACATTTTGGAGGGAATCAGCAGTTAGCGTAATGGCTATGTCGCTGGACTCCCACGTAGTCGACCGCAGTTCGTGTCCCGGACCCGGTGGCTTAAAACTCACGCCGGGCGCGTGTGTGGGCGTGCCCCACAGCCCTAGAGGAGAATGGAGGAGAAGGGATTGTGGTGTGACCATCCCCCCTGGGGGGTGATTTCTCGCTTTCTGTCTCTATGTCTCTCTCTGTCTGTCTGGCGAGCGCACACGCCCTTCAGTGAAAATCTCTCAAAAAAAAAGAAAAAAAAATTTTTGGAGAGATTTTTGCTATAGGGCACATGCACTCGCCAGAAAGACAGAGAAAGACAGAGACCGAAAGCAGGAAATCACCCCCGAGGGGCATGGCCACACTGTAATCCCTTCTCCATTGTCCTCTCGGGATCTTGGGCACGCATGTATACATGCCCAGCATGAGTTTAAGCCACCCGGTCCGGGACTCGAATGGTGGTCGACTACTTGGGAGTTCAACAACATAGCCGTTACACCATCTGCTGGTCCCTAAAATAGTGGTCTTAATTTTATTTGGAAATATTTAGTCTTCTCTGTTTACAGCTTAGGGAAGTAGACAATTGACTACACTGCTATATGGAGTTCAGTGTAGCAGTTAGGGCTGATGGTGTTTACCTTAAATTCACCTTAGTGTGAGGTGTTTGTGACCAGGAAAGAGCCAGTAAAGTAAAAACAGACCAGTCATGGCGTGGAAGCAGAGGTGGTGGCCAGCTATACTGAAAGTGGAGGACCAAGAAGTACTTGATGGTTCTGACAAGGTGAAGGTCATAGATAACCTTGACAAGTAAAGTCCTGTTGGAAGAAAGGACGAGAAATACGCATGGATGGAGGAGGTAATCAGAGTTAAGGAAGCAGATTTAACATTTTCAAATTGTCTTTCTTGGCTTAATAGCATCAACATTTCCTATGCCAATATAGGGTTATTCTAAATATTTTAATGGCTCCATAACATTTATGAATTCTATTTTTTAATAATGAAACACTGACCATTGTGAATTTGGCTTCCAATAGGCTGATAATTGGCCTTTTCTCCTTTATGAGTTTCTTAGCTTTCTATGGGTCAAAGATCCCTTAGGGGTCTAGGAAAGCTGTAGACCTTCTGACCAGAAAAATGCAAATAAGCCCATTCACACTAAAATGTATAAGTAACTTCAGAATGTTAGAAGTCTGTACTCACCTGAGGGTAAGGGGCCTCACTCTAAGCAATGTTCCTAGTCAAATGCCAAAATTCAGGACTAGCAGATGGCATAATGGTTACATCGCTAGACTCTCAAGTAGTCCACTGTGGTTTGAGTCCTGGACCCAGAAGCTTAAAACTCACGCCAGGCTTTTTTGCATATGTGCCCAAGATCCTGAGAATAAGAGGAGAAGGAGTTGCGGTGTGGCCATCCCTCCTGGCGAGTGACTTCTCACTTTCTCTCTCTCTCTCTCTCTGGTGAGTGCACATGCCCTCTAGTAAAAATCTCTCTTAAAAATATTGCCAAAATTACCTCATAATTGTGCTCTTTTTCTTCTGTGATACTAATTTTTGGTGGTGGAATTAATGGGACAATAAGGTGGAGAGAAAAATAAGAAAAATCAAGCAAACTGAAAGAACCGACACAAGTTAGGTGGACTAGTTAGCTTTTACGTGGTTACTCATTATGTGATCCTCATGCATTAACTTAACTTTAATTGGTAGGACAATAAAGCAATAGAACATGTTTTGAAAGCATGGATGCTGGAACCAGATTGCATGTATTTAAATCCTGATTCTGTCATTTATTAGAGGTGTACTTTGGGTAAGATAATTACCTTCTTGGAACACTGCTTCCTTGTATGCAAATAGAGCTAACAAAAGGACCTGTTTCATAGGTCGTTGTTGTACAGAATAAATAAGCTAATGAATGAAAGGTGCTTAGAATGGTGCCAGGCAACATAACTGTGCAACCTTTGACAATTATTTAACCTTTCTGTGACCCACCTTCCTCATCTATAAAATGGAAGTGATAAGACCAGTCTTTCAAGGTATTGTACTGGCATCTAGAACATGGAATAAATGTTTGCAGAATGGATAAATGAGTGACCATTTATCCTCTATCTGGCTTTCTGACAAGTTTCTGAAGGACAAAAACCATGTGCTTTTCCAGTTTCGTATCACCAGGATATCCCTTGAACTTAAGGGTTGTTTAAATGTTTGTTGAATAAGTAATGCAAACAATACTTAATTTAACCTGTACTGGAGGTGAGTTGCTCCACATTATTATTTTTTTTAGAGAGAGATTTTTGCTATAGGGCACATGTACTCACCAGAGAGAGAGAAAGAACGTGAGAAATCACCCCTTGGGGGCATGGCTATGTTGTAATCCCTTCTCTTCCAGTCTCCTCTTGGGATTTTGGGCCCACACGCATACATCCAGCATGAGTTTTAAGCTGCTGGGTCTGGGACTCAAACTGCCGGATGACTGTGTGGGAGTCTTGCAAAATAAACATTATGCCATCTGCTGGTCCTGCACCATGTGATTTTTAAGGTCTTACCTAAGGCTAAGTTTCTAGGTTCTATGGGACTATCCAAAGAAATAATGAAAAGCACTGTTGTTTCCTTATGAACATATGTATCCTGGACCCCAACTTTTGCCCTCCATGCCAGGGCCTTGAATACTTATTTCCTTTTTTACTATGGCTCTGCCTGTCCCATCCATTCTAATCAGGAAGCTTCATAGACATAATTTTCTTATTTTTCCTTCTTTAGCTTTATTGGGAGCTCCTGGAAGTTTTACTTTCACAATCTTTGTTCCTTATTGTCTACCACACTCTGATTTCGAGCCTGCAGGACTTTAGGGAGCACAGAAAGTTTACCCAGCGTAGACATGGAAGTAGAATCCAGAGAAGATTTCTGGGTGGAGGTGACATCTAAGGTGAGACCTGAAGGATGAGTAGGAGTTAGGCAGGCAAGGGAGGAACATGTTAAAATATTTGTAAAGCTCTTTTCCACTCCCTGAAACATACACACACATGCCTGCAGACACATGCATACCATTGCTATCTCTAATCAGCTTGTTCTTTCCTTCTTCACTTTGACTTGGCATTTGCATTTTTGCTATAAACTTTAAATTCCTTATTTTTTAAAGGAGATATCAGAAGATAATCTAAATTGAACTGCTTTCTGAGCAACTTAAAATCAAAATTTTACCAGGACTGGCAGGTGGCATGGTGATTAAGGATGCTGGACTCCCATATGGCCAACCGCAGTTCGAGTCCCATACCTGGTGGCTTGCTTTGTCACTTTCTCTCTCTCTCTCTCGCTCTCACTCTCACTCTGTCCTTCTCTATCAAATTTAAAATAAATAAAGTTAAATAATAAAATAATTCTTTAAAATTTTTTTTTTACCTACCCATTTTTATGATGGCTATTCTTAATTTCTCTTTAAAATTATTATGTCAGAAGGTACATGTAAGCGCAGCCGCGCACCTGGAACGGCCTGGCCGGCGCCTCCCCACTCCGGGAGGCGCGCCACGCGGCCGGGTGGGGCTCACGCCCCGCCCCGGCGTAGGCCCGGGGGGCCTCCCTGCCCCTCCCTGCCTCTCTGGCCCGGGATGGCCCGGAGGCCGAAAACAAGGTTGAAGAACTTGCAACTTAAGAAGATGATAGTTACCAGCCCTGCATTACCTCAGGGGAAAACAAGAACTACTCTGCCATTTTTAAGGAAGCCAGATACCCAAGGACAACTCACACTGCAGACCCCCACAACACCATTCCTGGTAACTACAAGATGACTGCTGTGCCGCATCAGCTGATAATTATCCCTGTGTACCAGAACTGCTTTCCTGAAACTGCATTCCTTGGAGACTCACCTACACTTGTGGATCTGCCGGAGACCCTTCCTTATCCAACCCTGAGTGGAGTTTATGCTCCCTATTACCAAAAACTTTATGAGCTGATGGTTGGAACTTGTGGCCTCTCTCCCTTTACTTGTATGTATCACTTTTTCAGTAACTCTTCTGGAAGACAACTGTATATAGCAGGGATATTGTAATGGGAGAGTGAGACAGGGCAGAGGGACAAACATAGGAAAAATAAAAAATAAAAAAAAAGAGGAAGAGAAAAAAAAACATATATATGTGCATAAGCAAGAAAGTAGAAGTGGAATATTATTGATGA